GGTGACCGGTAGAATTGATATTCGGAGCAGTGTCCTGTTCAGTTATCTTTTGAGACTGAGAGGTGAGTTTTCTCACTATACCTGTGGGTCGAAGGCACCAATGCCAGTCCACTAGGTTATATGCTAGTATACAGGATGTTGTTATGCTATAGTGATATGTTAGATATGTATCCTAGTATATAGGATGTTTTTATGCAGTAGTGATATGTTATATCCGTATCATTGTATATAGGATGTTGTTATGTTGTAGAGATATGTTAGATCTATATCCTGGTATACAAGACCCATACGCATAACAAGGAAGCTACAAACCTTGAGGGTTAGTATTGTCATGATGGTTATGGCAGTATGGTTGTGGCCTTGTTGATGTATATCTTGGTTTATTTTTCAATATGGTGATTATGAGAGGTTCTGCTTCAAGAGCTGGTGGCTAGGATAGGTCGAGATTGACTGATGATGACATTTGTGAGTTGATCGCTACAAAGGTAGCTACAACTGTCCAGAGCTCTATTCCGGAGTTGTTTGGTTCTATCAAGACCGTTATGATTGAGCTTTTTGATGACCGATACATTGCACTCATTGACATTGTTGTTGTTGCAGCTACCGCAGTTGTTGTTGCTATATGGATTCGGGGGGAGAGATCATTTCAGTATCGGGACTTCGACAATATGAATCCCCTACAGTTTGATGGGGTCAAGGACCTGATTATGGTGATAAGGTAGTTGTATGATGTGGAGGGTTGTTTATTTAATTATTCTTTCCCGGATGACCAGAAGGTTAAGTGCACCTTGAACCTTCTCCAGTTAAGGGCAAAGGATTAGTGGAGATTGGTGACTAGTTCATACACTCCTGAGTAGAGCGTTGCTATTACTTAGGAGCAGTTCTCAGAGATGTTCCGTTTGAGATACGTTCCCTTGGTGGACAGGGAGATATTAGTAGGATGATAGTTGTCTTCAGTATCAGGTGAGTTTCCTCCACCGTACTAGTGGGTCGAAGGCACCAATATCGGCCCACTAGATTATGTTAGTAGGATGATAGTTGTCTTCATGACAATTTCATGTTATGTTTGTTTATGCCTGTTGTCTTCGTGACTCTCGTTGATATGATTGAATGCTTAGCTGTAGGGGTGAAATAGACTCAGTACCGGTTGAAAGATACCAAAGGGGGTGTGTCACACCCCCAAACCAAGGATGGCGGAAACGTCTAGGGGTGGAGGACTTCATGTGTAGTATCATAACAACGAGTATAATAGTACTCAAAATAAATACAACCATTATAAATATAATTGAAAAGTTACACCATAGTATGGATTTGCATGCTTCAAAATCAATTACATTATGATGACAAAATGAACTATTTGACGTCTTAACGTCCCATCCTCAAAAGTTGCAGGTTCCTGTTTTTACTATTTTCCTGAGAATAAAAGTAGTTTTGAAAAAAAGTATCAACAATTAAGTTGGTGAGTTCATAAGCTTTTGGATGTAAAATTTGAAACCCCTGGTTACTACCAGTATGTATAGTAGTTTTATTATTTGAAATAAAACTGAGTATTGTATTCCGAGTTTGAAAACCTTTGTTTGTAAATGTAGTGTATACCCAAGAAAAATCTAATATTTTCCTTATAAAATATTATGTAGTCTTAAATCCCAAGACCGAGTATATGTATGTTCGTACTTGTAACAAGGTATGCAGTTTTAAATAGATAAAACCCCTTTTTAAAATAGAAATTCCCATAAACTACATGTGTCGTTATCTCCCTATGTGAGTCGCTATAACCATACAAGATAAACACTTTACTCAACATGTTATAAAGTGTTATCAAAGTGGTAAGGTGTTAACTAGTTTTTAACTTTTCCGCCTTGTTTTAGAAAAATCATAGGAAGTCAAAAACTGAATTTATAAACTCTAAGAGTTTACAAAATGTGTCTAGTTTGTTCATAAATTTTATTATGATTTTTAGAAGTTTCTAACTTGTGTGAAAATGTCCATATTCACAGACTGGTTCGAATTTGTAGCTACAGTGATAGATAGTTTTGTAAAAATCACCATTAATTATAGAAAAATCGTATGAACATGTGCAATTAGTCATTTTAAAGGTATAACCTGAAACTCGATGGGTGGCATTAGGGTTTCGATCGAAAATCGTGAGAACTCGACGAGTCACCCGATGACTCTGCGAGTGGGAAAAAACTTCAAAGAACTCGGCGAGTAGCCGAGGGTACTCGGCGAGTTAAGGTCAACATGGACTGTTGACCTTGACTGAGGACTTTGACTTTGACCTGGGGTTGACTGGTTGGTTTATGGAGTACTTGTGAGGTTGAGGATTTATGAGTATGCTTGTACTATGGTAATAGGTGGAGGAGTCTTTGGCGAGTGATCCGAGAGTTGGTTTTAAATTATGATTGAAAATTTTTAAATTTTGGTGTAAAAATTTGTGGGTGTCACATATAGAGCGAGAGAGACTGAGAGAGACTTTGTTTGTGACCTTTGCGAGTGTTTAGCTTCGAAATGCAAGGTTTGTAAACCCCATTAAGCCTCATTATGAGTGTTATACATCCATGGAAGGTATGTAATAATGTTTTATCGAGTAGTTCCATCACTTACCCTGATTAGGGTTTAGATTTTATGAACACGTGAAGACTCAAAGTGATTCTTTGCATTAAGATAGGGTGTTGTACAATAGTATACATAATGTAATCCCTAATATACAAGGGTTAATTGAGTTGACCAATTTGACTTGTTGACTTTATTTGACTTTGATTAGACTGGAAATTGACGGTTGTCACAGGGTGAAATAGACCCAATACTGATTGAAAAATACCGAAGGGGGTCAAATAGACCCAGTACCTGTTGAAAGATACCGAAGGGATGAAATAGACCCAATTATGTTTGACTGTTATGCATGTATGATATGTGGTATTTTGGGGAAGCTCATTAAGTGTTTTGCTTACACTTTTCAATTATGTTTCAGGTACTTCCAGCTCAAAAGGGAAGGACCCGACTTGATTGCACCGCATTCGCCCATGTTTTCTGCATTAAGTGATTTTGGGATTTGTACTATGATATTATCCACTATGATACACTTTTGGTTGTTTTGACATAATTACTGGATGTTTTGGAATGAATTAAAATGAATTTTTTGTCTGAATTTTTTCGGATGTTACACTATAATTGAGATTTTTGCAGTTTACCTTTTAGGGTATGTTTGTTAGATGGAATGGAAAAGGTAATGGTAATGGTCGAACCATTCCATTCCTTCTCCTTCACCATCATACCAAATGCTTAATGTGTGATGTTTAAGTTTAATCTCCCTACTTTGTTACTTTGAACCCTTTTAACAAATATGTACAAACCCACGTGAAAGCATGAGCTTTTTTACTAGTTCAAATATCATATCAACTCACAGTTTTTTATAAATTATTTTTTATAATAATAAGTTTTTTAAAAAGTTTTTTTTAATTAATTATGAACAATAATAATTGAAAATAGCATTATATATATATATATATATATATATATATATATATATACATACATATATATATATATATATATATATATATATATATATATATTCAAGTTCATCATAAAAATAAATAAAATAATACAAAGTTGAAAAATATTTTTAATCATCTTTATATGCAATTGAAATATGGTGAGTAACACTTTTCAAATGCACATTGTCTATCTTATCACATAATACCAGGTGTATTTGTTGACTTTCAATCCACTCATCATGTTCATCATCATTCATGCACTTATATGTAGTTGATTTCCCACTCTTTAATGGTGAAACCAATCTACTCGCCAATCTCAATGGTGAAAAAGACCTCCATTATTTTGCAGTCGTCGACACTTTCTTAGGCGGTGAAATTGACTCCTTTACGATGGTCGTCCTTAGTGGGACATCAACTTTTTATGTACGATGACCATCCTAGGCGGTGAGACCGATTTCTTTTTCAAGTATAGTCGTCGTTGGTTTGAGATATGAAAAAGATTGGGCTACTAATCTTCAACGACGAAGCCAATCTAGTCGTCAATCTCGACAGATAAAATGACCTTCATAGATTCGTAGATTTACTAATGTAGACACACTCTTAGGGGGTGGAATCTAAATCTTTACTTGAAACTTAGCCACACCAACAAGAGACGGTGATATCTTGATTAAAAACTTGTGAGGGATGCTGACAGGTTCTTGAAATCACCAATGACCTTGTTTTGCAAAAACGTAGGTTTTATGAAGCAAGTTTTGAATGGAAAAGTGGGTTTGGGAATTTCACAACTTTTCTAGTCGGTCTAGTCTTCTGTGACACCTTGTTCGCCGGAAACCGGAAACCGACGCTTTTCTGTCTTGATTTCTTTTTTGGGTGGAGAATCAGAGACTTTGAAATTAATCCTTGATTTTGCAAGGAGAATGTGGATTTGATCGGATACTTTGTTTCTCTCTTTCTTCGATCCCCGAGCTCGGGTATTTCCATGTTTAACTTCAAGTTTTGTATGGAATCATTAAGGTTTGGGTATGGTTTTCTTGTATAAATACAACTTTTTTACAACCATTTAGACTCAATGAAAATCAGATTCAATCATATCCTATGCTCTTACTATTGTATTTTCTTGTTGAAGTTAGGACAACTTGCTAGCCTATAATGATTTGGTTGTCTTGAATAACTGTTGCAGTTGTTGCATTTTGGAAAACAAACATCTAGTCGGGAGGCATATTTTTTTTAAGGACATTATGTTCAATACAAGCATCAACAGTTTATGTTTTTGTTGTTCTTTCTTGCATTACTGCAATATATTTCCCTACATCAACATGTGGTAGAACTAGGGTGGGTTGGTGACCGGGATCCAATGATGAAATAAAAATTGAAGTTAGGGACAATTATGTAAATATTTCAAAAGTTGGTCCGAACATGCATTATTAAGAAAGTACAAGGACCATTCTTGTAATTTACTCAAATTTGTAATACCGCCGGTTGATTTTTTTAATATTCAGAAGACTCGTTCCATTTATCCAGCTCTGTTTTTTCCTCTAAAAAACCAAGACCTTCGTATCATCAACTCCATCTCAATAATCTTCCTGTCTATTCTTTTACATCGAGATTTCGGTTTAAGAAACAAGAAATGGCCCTGCTTCAAGATCCCCTTTCCGAATCCATCTCCAGCCTTTTTAAAACTGTAATATATGTAGCAGAAACCACAGCGGAATTCAAGCCCCAACTGGAGGAACTCAGAGCCACCTTACAGAGAATAACACCGATCATCGAAGAGACGGTGAAGCTGAAACGGGAACTAGATCATTCAGAGCTAGAGTGTAAGATGTTCATAGATGAAGTCCAAAAGGCAGAAGAACTTATCATCAGATGTTCGAAAGTAAAGAGGGATCCGACCAAGATGTTCCTTTACTCACGGGAGCTAAAAAATTTCAAGATTAAGTTGGTAAACTTCTTTCAAGTTGGAGTTCAAGCAATTCAGATTCGGGACATTATGCAGACTCTTGCAGTGGTGAACGACATCAAATCAAAAGTGGATCGTATGTATGTGGATTCAAGAGATTCGAAACATAGAACAAGATTGGTTGGTAGTCATAGTGGATCTGAAAGTGTAGAACGAAAAAAATATGGTTGGCAAGTTCCCGGACTTCAAAGTGGAATCGTGGCATTTGACGAGCCACTGGAGAAGCTGAAGGCTGAGGTTGTTTCTGATATTGGTATTGATGATCGTTTGGTGCTGGTTGTCGAGGCTCCTGGTGGATGTGGGAAGACTACTTTGGTGAAAATGCTATGCCATGATGCTGAAATTCGAGGTGATCCTTCAATCTTTAGAATCGAAGTATTAGTTAGTTCTTCTTGGTTGACTTGATGCTAAAATCTCTTACTTTTGAACAGAAAAATTTGGGGAGAATATCTTCTATGTGACAGTTTCAGAAACACCCGACTTGATGGTGATTGTGAGTGATCTGTTTAATCCAAATCCCTCCACCCCGCGGCTTCAGTTTCAAGGCAAGGAAGACGCAAAGATCAAGTTGGACAACTTTTTGAATAAGAAAGCATCAGATCCTATGCTTCTAGTATTAGATGATGTTTGGTCTGCTTCGTTTATTGAAGAACTCTTTCCATCCAAGATCAGAGGACACAAAATTCTGGTCACATCTAGGACTGCTTTTCCGACATACAAGACCTTCAGATTTGAGCCTTTGAATGAGGAAGATGCCAAAACTCTCTTTTGCGATTCAGCATTCACTAAAGGAGGGAGTAGACCTAGTCCAACTATTAGTGATCATGTTGTGAATCAGGTAACTAACTTTATCATGATATTCTTCTTTTTCCATGCATTGTGAGATCCTCATTCTATAGTCTATACTAATTATATAATCAAAGAATGTATGTAGTATTTTTGGATGCATAAAGAAGTGATTTTTCTTTCTTCTGTTGCTCTTCCTTTTGCTTCTAACTTGTTTGTATCCATTCATTCCCTTGTATGTAGATGGTACATTGGTGTAAGAAACATCCCTTGACCCTTTTGGTGGTTGGTCGATCCTTAAATGGGAAGAATGAGTTAGCCTGGAAATCTATGCTAGGAAAGCTGTCTCAAGGTAGGTTGGTTCTAGATTTACACAAGGATGTACTCATAGGCTTAGAAAGAAGCTTTGATGCTTTGGATGATGAATTTAAAGAATGTTTCTTGGATTTGGGGTTATTCCCAGAAGATCAAAGGATCCCCGTTAGTACCCTCTTGAATATGTGGGTGCATTTGTACAACCATGATGATGATGGTGTTGATACCATGGACACCATCCTTGAGCTTTCCTATAGAAATCTTGTCGATCTTATGGCCAAAGGGTATTTAACTTACGCCCTTGTTGCTTTCCTTTTTTTATTTTTCCCATCAGACTGTCTAAATACAGTATTCTTTGGATAAATGGTTGGTACCGCATTTTCCTCACTTTCTCTATTAAGTCTCTTTGCTGCATCAAGTCAAAATGAAAAACTCATATATAGCAAATATGTGAAAAGTTAGGGCTTTTCCTGGCTTTCTCTAATAATTCGTTCTTTCTATATCAAGTCAAAAATAAAAACTACTATATCAAATTTATAAAATAGTTGGGACTTAATGGTTCCTTCATTTCCTCTTGTAACTTGTTCTTTTTGCATTTAAGTTTAAAAAAAAAAAAAAAAAAATCCATATATAGCAAATTTGTAAAAAGTCATGACTTTGGGAACACCTCATTTTACTCATTTCCTCTACAAGTCGTTCTTTTTGCATTAAGTCAAAAAGAAAATTGCATATGCATAAATTTTCTAAAAACCTAGGCTTTAACAGGGAACACCTCATTTTCTCCATCAAGTCGTTCTTTAAGCAATGCCATACACTACTTATCTTACTAAGACTTGTCCTAGTCAAGTCCATCAACTAAAAGAGAAACAAAACCTTGCTCAGTTACTAAAAATTACTCGAGTGAATTCAAGGGTGTCCAACAGTTGTTATTAAATAGGAGGAACTCCAATTTCATTTATATATATTGTTGTAGACTGATCCTTGAATTGTTTAGTTTTAGGAATGATTCGGGTGCAAGAGTTAACTATTGTGACCAACAATTCGTGACACAGCATGATTTGCTGAGGGAGCTTGCTATTTACTTGAATAACAAACTACCTTTACCACAAAGGAGTAGATTGTTTATTGATGCACCAGGAGAAGACTTGCCTGCATCAATTGTAAAAATCCAAGAAGCTATGCAAGCCCGCATATTGTCCATTTCCACAGGTTTTGATTCTTTTACCTTTATGCCCTTGGGCATAGCATAGTTAATTCTAGGGTGGGAGTTTTAGTCTCAATGTTGTGTCTCACCTCTTAGCCACCTAGTGAGCCACAATTAAATCTGACATGATGTTCTTAAGGCATGGTGGGGTGCCTTAACGGTTGATAAGAATAGCCCTTTTGGGATTACATTCATACCTTCAATGGAACCTCTTCCCTTTGTATTTCTTTGAAAGTCTACACATACGTAACATTGTCCTTTAGATTTGCACATTATACTTTAAAAAATCTACCCAATTAATTTAAAGGCAAAAAATGCTTTGTATTAGGATGAGTAGATGACATTGGATACTAGGATGTTATAATAAACAAATAAATAAAAGTACATTGCTATTTTTTGCTTTTAATCCTGCCAAAAACAATAATAATCTCTAGATTACGAGAAGTAAAAACTCTTATTTGTTCTGGACAAAGTGGCAGTTAGTATGAATGAATGTGTTATTATATTATGTTTTTATTAATCTTTTACAATCTTGATTGTAGGGGAATCATTCTCCTCGCGATGGTGTGACATGAAAGTCCCAGACCTCGAAGTTCTGATCTTAAACTTAATGTCAAAAACATACACTTTACCCCATTTCTTAGCAGCAAATCCGAAATTAAAGATTGTAAACATCACAAACAATGGATTATACCCTACAGAATTCAGCAATTTCGATTTTCTTGGCGCTTCTTACAATCTAACAAGGATCCGACTCGAACGTGTTGACATAAGTCCAGCCATTTTATCACTCATAAGCCTGCAAAAAGTATCCTTAATAATGTGCAAAATTGGCAACACTTTCAAGAACCTCATTACCAAAACCCCAAATATCTGGCCACAGTTAGTTGAACTGGAGATCGATTACTGCCAAGACTTGGTCAAATTCCCAGGGACATTATGTAACAGTGTCCATCTCAAGAAGATTAGCATCACAAACTGTAATGAGATGTGTGGCTTTTCTGAGGAATTTGGGGATTTGATTAATTTGGAAATGCTTGGTCTTCGTTCTTGTATGAAATTGAAGAAATTGCCTGAATCGATATGGAGACTTAAAAACTTGAGTGTTTTTGATATTTCAGATTGTTTGAGCTTGAGTGGGTTGCCAGAAAAAATGGGGAAATTGGGTTGTTTAAGGAAGATTTATATGAAAGGTTGCAGCGGAGTACATGAGCTACCAGAATCTGTGGGGGAGCTGTCTCATGTACGTGTGGTGTGTAATGAAGAAGTAGCTTGTAAATGGCGGGAGTATAGCAATGTGGAGATTGATTTGGTGGAAGAAGATCCATTAGAAACCCTTAAGAGAATTTTGTCGTTTTGATGCGGCATATATATAAAAATATAATCGATTTTTGTACTTTTGTGACTGATTCCTGAATCAATAAAGAGTCATAAATTATGGGAACAAATTGCAAGTTATTGTTATTTTATGATTATAAAAATGTGAACACCAAACAGAAATCATATTGACATTAAGGAAATATCATATAAAAGAATGAAATCTTAAATTCTCCGAGCTGACAAATGCATCGGTGTAGTTGTTGACAGTGGCCTCTGTTTCAATCCACTCATCATGTTCATCATCATCTCGCTACTATCCACGCTCTTCTGTACAGATGATTTCCTACTCTTCAATGGTGAAACCAATCTACTCGCCAATCTCGACGGTGAAAACGACCTCCGCAGCTTTGCCGCCGTCGACACTTTCTTAGGCGGTGAAATCGACTTCTTCACGGAGGCCGTCCTTGGCGGTGACGCCAACTTCTTCTTTCCGGTGACCGTCCTGGGCGGTGAGATCGACTTCTTCACGGAAGCCATCCCAGATCTTGTCGGAGATACGCAAATCGCTGGGTTCCTAATCTTCAATGGCGAAGCCAATCTAGTAGCCAATCTCGACGGCGAAAATGACCTCCGTAGCTTTGCTGACGTGGACACGTTCTTTGGCGGTGACATCGCCTTCTTCTTCGCGCTGGCCGTTTTGGGTCTGGTCGGAGATACAGAAAGTGGTGGACTGCGAATTTTTACTTGAAACTTAGCCACAGCAGCAGGAGGCGGCGGCGTCTTGATTAGAAACTTGTGAGGCGTGGTCTGACGGGTTCTTGTAATCACCGGCGACCTTGTTCTGCAAAATTGTTGGTTTTGTGAAGCAGGTGTTGAATGGAAAAGGGGGTTCGGGAAGATCACGGTTTTTCTAGCCCAAGGTTTGTTCTTCGGAGACACCCTATTCGCCGGAAAACGACCCTTTTCAGTCTCAATTTCTTTTTTGGGTGGTGAACCGGAGACTTTGAAATTAATCCGTGATTTTGCTCTTTCAAGTAAAGGAGAATGTAGATCTGATCGAATTATCCGTTTCTCTCTCTTTCTCCGTGACCGGAGCTCGGTGGTTTCTGGGTTTAACCTCGAATTCCGTCTGGAATGAGTCACCGGAGTTTTCGGATCGCCGCCGGCGCCGGTGGTGATCTTTTTGGCTTTCGTTTCAACAGCCGTCACGATTTCTCTAGCAAACTGACTTGCTTGGAGTATCTCCCCCACGGTTTCGCCCAAAATCATCGCTGGTAGTGACATCCTCTTCCATTCCCCTTCATCAATTCAAAACCAAAATTCAAAAATCCGCCATTGAAACACAAAATACAAACATCAGATATCACCCAAAATTCTCACCTATTTGTGTGGGTAATCTTCCAGGTGGCGATTTTTGACCATTTGCATTTCTGATTCTAAAGATTGGAGAGAGAAAACATAAGCATAATTAAACCATGAAATCATAAAATACCCATCTGATTGATTTACTGAGAATTTCCAACAAATTTTACCTGAGTGATTCCTGTTTACACCTGAGGCTTGTTCTTAAGTAGCCTCTGGAACTACGAGGGCTGAGATTCACACCGGATATCACCTTCGTCCCACCGGTGATGTACTGAAGCTCTTGCAGTCTATCCATACATTTCTCCACCTTCAAAATCCAAGTTTTCGTCATTAAAACATCAAAATCCAAAAATGAAAAAAACAGAGATTTAGAAGAAGGTGAAATGGGTACCTTGTTGAGTGTGTCTCTGAGTTGAATCGGATCAAGTGGAGCCACAATCTTCTTCTTCGGCTTAGGTGGGGATCTTGCGACCATTGTTTGTGTGTGTGTGTGTTGTGTGTGTGTGGGGTAAGTGCGACAACAAGAAGAAAGAGTATGTTACATGAAGTATAGTGAACACCCCCAACGGTCAGATTGTGTAAAGTAGAAAACGCACACAAAGAGAGTTAAACGGCTACTTCTTTATCTCTCTTTCTCCCAATAAAATATTATTATCATTTTAATCAACCATTGACTTTTTCCGTTTCATTTCGTAAATAATTATTTTGTAATTTATTATTATATTAACATGCTAATAAAATCCTGCTCATTAAAATATTAACATCCCTTATGTTTGTAATCAATTATATTAAATGGTTTAAAGTGTAATAAATTTTTGAATATACTTGGTGCCATTTTTTGACCCATTAAATCCTAATTTTTCACCTTCAAAGTTATATCATTAAATTTTGAGTGAATACCAAATAATATTGAATCATGACAGATAAAACAATGTCTTGAATAGATATCGTCATCTTCAAAACTGTTAATGTTTTATGATTATATAGTCATCATTTTCAATTATACAAACAGGGAAAGACTCAAAGACCTATACTGGGGTGAGGCCACAATTAAAAAGAAAAATAAAAAATATTTCAAAAAAAAAGCAAAAATAATATTTTTTTGACCTGATGAAAATAATATATTTTGACCCTTTCAAAAAGTATTTTATCCTTATAAAAAAATTAATTTTTTTGCATTTTTTTCGAGAAATTTGTTAGTCTACCTCAAAATACAGGTAGTACAAGAACTTTGTTACAGATGAATATAAATATGAACGATATTGACTTCCATATGAAGTTGCAACTCGACAATATTGATCTGATTATAAATAACTTAATGTGTAAAAATGGGGGTCTACCTCAGGTATTGTTTATATAACATTGAAATTTTTCGCAGTGCTTTAAATGGGAGATTAAATTATGGTGTGGGTCCGAAGCATTCAAACAGAGAGGTGACATGTATTGGGTGTTCTAGAATGTGGGTAGGGGAATTTTTGTTCTTTTATCATTCATAACTTTGTTTCAATGTTTTTTTTCCTGAAACGGTAAATATGATTCATATCATTTAGTCATTTAAAAATCATAATAATTTTTTGGGTTAATATATGAAAAAATCATTATATATCGTGTTTTTTGGGATTAAAACTAACTTTTTTTTTTTAAATATTTTTGATTTTTTTATTTTTTCATTTTTAATATAGCCTTTTAGGTTGTTTTTTCCGGAAAAACTTATCTAATGTGATCTTTTCGGGAAAAAAAATTTAAAAATACAAGATTAAAAAAAAAAGCTCAATATATAAGATATTTTATTATATTAACCTTTATTTCAAAATGATTTACCAACTATAACGACTTATCTCATATGAGCGTGTCTAGACACATCTAAATACGTCTAAACATATCATTATTTTTTTAATTAACTACTTTGGACTTTTGGTTAAAATGATTTCCTTGAATAGATACAAATACCCTAAAAAGCCTTTTTCCGTTCTCTCATATTACCCTCATTGTAGCCCAAATACCTGTACTTCATGGTATTTCTTTGCATTGTAAACATTTTATCAAGAGTGAATATGGGCGTTCCATATATATTTAAAATACACAAATTCCATCAACTGAACTTAATAATTGAAAAAAAAAAAAAAATTATTTATACTAGCCTTCTGAATATAACATTTTCGCTTATAAAAACATATATATCTAAAGAAAAATACTTTTTTTTAGTTTTTTGAGATGCAAAATCACTAATAATATCTTCAAAATAGATCATGTCTAACATTATATTAATAAAGTCTATAAAAAATTTGAGCCCTTTTAAAAGATGGATTCTGAACGGTCGCCCGTATCGCACATCCTTTGAGACGGGCCTGAGTGGATCTCTCGATGGTTTCCTCTGTATTGTTTTCCCGGTTTGGTTATTCTACATAAACTAGTGTGTTTTTCTCTCGTCTTTATTGTTTTACTAATTATGGTTGATTCCCATTATTTGTATATTAGTACTTTCCTTTGTTTGGAGGTGTTATTATGTATCATCAAAACATTTGAAGGTTTGGATTGGTTTTACCATCCATTAATAAACTTTGTTATTTCGGGAAGTGTTTACTGTTCTTTGCTCATTCTCTTTATTAACAACTACTAATACTAATGCCATCAGCTACTATCACATGATCCACTCTTGACCTGAAGCCCAGTGTCCATTAGTAGCTATTGATCCTACTATCTGTGTTTGCACACTTGCAAATAATAGATACCAAGTCAGTAGGAACCCAAAAACAAACAAATCATCCGATAAACCTCGGGATAGAAAGACAACACAAAGCATATAAATATACACCATAACTGAATAAATATATACAAGCCCTTGTTTTCTCCTTTTAAGCTATATACAAGATTTACACAAAAGCAACAAGACTTAACAACTAATGTTTGATTAATACCAATCAACATGTTTAGTTGATACATTGGGTTGCTTTTTTGGCTTCTTGTATCGATTATTTTCAAACTTGGCTTTTACAATGAGTGTATAAAGCAAGTCCGCCTCAGCAGAGCAATCAAAAGGCACATTCAAGATGCTACAACAACAACAACAAATAACCACATAGTAAATATTATAAAATTTGTTTTTTTTTTTTTTTTGGAATGTAGAGATAAAATGGTCAATTATTCTCATCCACATGATTTATTAAGCATAAAAACAAAACAGACTTTTATGTATACAACAATTTATCCAGACAAAGATCACCAATTCAACCACTTTTTGTCACCAAATGAAAGCTAATTGATTTATATTTTTTAATTTTTTGTTTTATAAAGTATACCTGGCAAGTAACTCCTGGAGAATAATCCTTTGAGAAGGTGTTACATAATGTATGCAGTTTCTAGGGCACTGTCCAACTGCCAGCTGTACCTTATAGTCCTCACCATGACCTAATTAGAATTAAAATTTAGAAAGATATGATCTAAAGTTTAGAAGAGTATTTTGTAAAATCCCAACGATTATTAGATCTGTTTTTCAACTATGCTAATATAAGATTGAATGTGAATCTATGCAACAATGTTTCAATATTTTATTTAAATTTATGCAACAAAGTGGGTTTTTTGTTTTAAGAGATAAAACCACATTTCATTTTAAGACCAAAACATGCAATTTTTCAGTATTTCCACCAGTAACCTTTGTTGCATAATTTAGGAAAAAGAAACCATTTTTTTGCATAAATTAGGAAAAAAAAGTGAAACCTTGTTTCATAAATTTTATATACAAACCTTGAGACGTTGCATATGCAGTTCCTGTTGAAGAACTGAATGTGAAGGCATGAGGTGCGGTCTTTACACACGAATAAGGACACCCTGCACAAAAAAAAAAAAAAAAAAAAAAAAAATTCAATCAAGGCTATTTTGGTCATTTAACATTATTTTCATTTCAATTGCTTTGACAGATTTCCAAACCAATAGAAAACAACAAAAGAATGGAATTGAATTCCATTCCATTCCATTTCTTGCCAACAAAAACCATGATGACAGATTTAATTATTCAGATTTCATTCCTTCTAAAAGATTAAGTAGAAAAAACAAATAATACTAAAAGAATGAAGAGACTCTTACCTTTTCCAGCACATAGAACTTCATTAACAAAGATGTCAAATGCCTCACATTCAGGAGCATCAAAAGGGTCTAGACATTCACTACAATTTCATATCAAATCCCATATTTAGAATATAGGATCCATAAAAAAAAATATGAAAATAAAAGGACAAAAACACGTATTAAAAGGATACATGCCTTTCAATGATCTCTGATTTGCTTAAATTGGATAACACCTAGAAAAGATAATATTCAAGATTTACCATCACATGTTACATCTTTACAAAGTTAGGAAGTTTATAAATTTAATATTAAGAAACTTATGCATCATATTCATACGAAGTTTCTAGATAACAATTACCATCTTTAAATCTTAGGAAAATAATCTATACCTCATAGGCTTCAATCACACGGCGAATCATTGTATCTGAATTACCATCATCACTCTTTATAACATCAGGATGGAATTGCTTCACCTATAAAAAAAATAAAGCAAGAACAAAAATGACTATTAAATAGGAAATTTTCGTTAGAGTTCTCCCCTAATTACATCCCCATGTATTCACAATAGTTAACAATTCTTTGTGTTTATAAATTCTGACACTAGAGCGAGCACTCCACACAAATCTTATCCGGGATCAAATATATTTGTAGTTTGCAATTGGAACTTAAACGTATGGATAACCGAAAAAAAATAATAATAATGGAAACATACTTTGGCACGAAAAGCTGCTTTGAGTTCGGACAAAGTGCAATCAGGCATTATGTCGAGCACCTGGTAGGCAGAAGAAGCAGACATGGTGGTTTGATCTCCATTACTGTCTCTGACTGAGTTAACCCTGAACTGGTTGTTGGTATCTGAAAAGAAACGATTTGGGTATTTGATGCTCGTATGAATCAGCCGTTGAAGCGAGGATTCAAAGGGTCTCGTTTGACAGTTACGGTGATAACTCTTTTGGATTATTGATGGGTGTGTTTGATAGTAGGAGCATAAGGTGACAGCTTTATTGCATAGAGGAAAAGATCCCATCTCCACCATTGCATCTACAAATATATGTCATGTCAGTTAGATTTCTTGCAACTTTATATGTATCACTCGTAAATTACTTGATAAATGATTCAATACACGGGTTTTTTGCTCTTCGAGAGGAGAAATTTGAGCTTTGAAGTAGGGTATGAATGTAGAGAAGAGGGTGATGCTGTACTTACTCGTTTACGTTATTTGCTTAATGCGTCCCATATTCCCATGATATTTATATATTAATTTCTCTAATCTGGTTATCAACCAAATTTGACACATATGAAAATATTAACCACCTAGGTAACAACGAAGAAATTAATAGCAAGTAATGTAATTTACTTGAAGATTTCAAAGGGGGTTTGTGGAGAAGACGAAGACGTACGTACGGCTGTGGTGGAGAAAGAAATACGGGTGTGGTGGAGAAGGAAGAGTAGAGGAGTTCGTTTCGGATGGATGGGTTTTTCAAAGAGTAAATTACATGAATGGTCCCTATGGTTTGGGTAATTTGCGCGTTTAGTCCCTAACTTATTTTTTTAACTCGGAAGGTCCCTACTGATTGTTTTTATTACGTGTCTGGTCCCTATTGTTTGTTTTTGTTACGCGCTTGGTCCCTGTCATACCTAAAAAGATTATTATTTAAATAGGAAAAAATAATTCAGTACGTAAGGTAAGGTGAGATTAGGGGTGTGTTTATTTAAATAAATTAAAAAATAAAGGGAAAATTAGATTTTTTAAGTAAGACAGGGACCAAGCGCGTAACAAAAACAAACAGTAGGGACCTTCCGAGTTAAAAAAATAAGTTAGGGACCAAACGTGCAAATTACCCTAAACCATAGGGACCATTCGTGTAATTTACTCTTTTTCAAAACATGATCCATATAATCCAGATTAATTTTAAACTAGGTGGGAACCCGGCGTTGCGGTGGTCGGATGCGATAGTCTTTCAACAAAATTGAAATATGAACAAAATAACTTTAATACATATAAGAATGTATTTAAACACAAACACATAAACAAAGAACTATTCTTGCCAAAAATCACATAAGTTTACTATTCTAAAAAAAGTATCCTCTTTTAATATATATATATATATATATATATATATATATATATATATATATATATATATATATATATATATATAAAAGAATGTCATTCAATCTAATCATATTATAATTCAGATCGTTTTTTTTTTTAAATAGACAATTTTATAGAAGAAAAAAGTTAATTATTTAGTTGTGTTGACTATTAAAATATATATTATAGTTCAATATTTTATAAATAAAAAAGTTTTGAGAGAAAATGTTATCAAATTTTTTAAATCTATTTGAAAAAACAAATAAGTTAATTAATAAATAACTATAGATATATTATAAATAAATAAATAATAAATTGTTTTGTGGTTTTTTTGGATTATTCGGTTCTTATTTTACAAACCAAAATCAATTCAAAATCCAAAATAATAATTCGGTTTTATTGAAAACTAATCCAAAAATTCAAATATCCGAACCAAATAGTTCAATCAAAATTGTCCAATTGTCCAATTCAGTTTTGCTTAAACAATAACTTAAAGATCGATATATTTAGTAACAATAAAGTGACTTAAAACAGTAAGAACAATGATCGAATGTGTGCGAAATGCTTTATAATCAATGTCTTAGAAGAGTTCGACGAGAACTTTTTTGTAAAAGCAATGTCAGACAATATTTAACGATTAACCCCTAATACAATGCATGCATGTGTTATATATAGTCTAACCTTAGCATCATAATGACGGATAAACATGCTCAATCCGCTAATAAAGACTAAATACATACATTAGTAAATTTGACACAACACAATAAAAAACTCAACAATCTCCCCATTTCGGTCAGATAATGAGTGGAAATTCTTCATTGTTCAACCTTTTGGACTTTAAACAACCTGGTCTGTAACATCCCAAAATTCAAGAATAAAAATTTTATTTTTGATGTAATAATTATAAAATCATTTGTCTGAAAACATCCATAGTATCAACTCATATCAAAATCAATGTATCAATAGTCAAAACATGTCATGATAAACAATATCAGAGTAAAACTCCCAGAGATCTCATGTGCGGAAAATGTAGTGTGATGTGTTACGATCATGCCGGCACATTTCCCTTCAAAGAGGAAGTACCTGAAACCAAAACTATAAGCATAAAGCTTAGTGAGTTCCCCCATCATACCACATACCATACAATAACATACTGCCTAGCATATCTGGGTGCTGGCCTACCCATTCGGTCTCTTTCAACCGATAACTGCCTAGCATATATGGGTCTTGGCCTACCCCTTTGGTCTCTTTCAACCAGTAACTTCCTAGCATATCTGGATGTTGGACTATCCCTCCGGTCTCTTTCAATCGGTAACTGGGACTATTTCACCCCCTACTACTACCACATATCATCCTAATACATAAACATATAAGTCACATACTGCCTAGCATATCTGGGTGCTATCCTACCCCTTCGGTCCTTTCGACCAGTAACGAGGTCTATCCCACCCCTCATACCACTATGCATAATAACATAACATACTAGCACATAAAGCATAACAGATAGTGGCATACCAAACAATTATCACAAAGACAATCATCTCAATTATAATCAACTACTAGTGGGTCGGCATTGGTGCCTTCGACCCACTCTTACTGGAAGGTAACTCACCCCGAATATTGTAAGGTAGTTGAACGGTCTTCGACTCTAAAATCAACCACACTCAAACTCCTACACATAAAATATTCCCTTTAGTCACCCCTTTCATACTCATAACCCCTTAAGGGTCAACTTTGGTCAAAGTCAAAGTCAACATCTTGGTCAAAGTCAACGTTCTAGATTGACTTAACTCGCCGAGTTGGTCCTTCTACTCGTCGAGTTCCATAAATCATAAAACCCTGAAATCGCGATCCAACTCGTCAAGTTCTTTCACGAACTCTTCGAGTTCCTCCTATCAACAGAATCGGGACATTTTGACCCAACTCGGTGAGATCATCTATGAACTCATCGAGTTATTCAGTTTGTTAAGCTTTCTTAATGTATTAAGCCATTATTCTTCGAATCTAAGTCCCATATTCCAGATCTGAGTCGAATACACATCTAGGAGGGTAAAGTTTCCGACTTTACCCATTAAGACCCATACTAGAAGAAATGAGCCCTAACCCTAACTTAAAATGGCTTAGTTCCAACTTCAAAAGCCATCAAAACTTCGATATAAGCCATGGGGTCATAGATATGGACTCCAGGGATAGTTTGGTCATGTAAAGTTCCTATCTTTACTTGCATGTGTGGTTTACTTCGCTCAAAAGGCCAAAAAGATGGTCCACAAGTTACACGGGACTTCCATGGCCATAAAGTTGGCACCTTTATGCCATGAAGTCCCCTAAAGACCCTAGATCTGAATAGTTTGCTCACATGAGGCATCCAACTCCCCAAAACCATCATCCTTGGACCAAAACATGAAGAAAACAAACATAAAACTAGATCTAAGCATGTTATAGGCAAGATAAGAGCTTTATATCTCAGGTGAACCATAAATGAAGCCCAACTTCTGGATCTAGTCTTCTCATATGCATCCTTGCTCCTTCTCCAAGTATCTTCTTCTTCAAAATCACAAGCAATGCACAAAAATGGCTCAAAACTCTTAAAAGTGAATTAGGGTTTCCTGGCTAGGGTTTGGGACGATGGAGGCTGTAAATAAGGCCGGATTATGGGGAGTTAAGGTGTTTAAATAGAGCGCAAAACCATGAAAATTAGGGTTTCATTCTTCTAGTCCTACTCGTCGAGTTTAGGCACTCAACTCGCCGAGTAGAATTCACAACTCGCGTCCAAATCCATCCCTACTCGACGAGTTTGGGACCTCCAATTCGTCGATTTTCTATACAAAAACGAATAAATTTTGAATTAAATACATACCAGGAACCGAGCGTTACATGGCCGTCAAATTCAGAAGTTTTTAACATCCCAAAAATACGGTCCAAAATTTTCGTGTTAAATCATTAAGAAAAACCATAATTCATATAACATCACAATAAAGATCATAGTTCATATATCTCAAATCATCATAACAAAATACTTTATAAAAATCATGTATCAAACTATCAGAGTAAATCATCCCAAGCTAAAAGTTGTGGTATGTACCATGCAGTCATCCCGAGCTCTTCCCCTGGCTAGTGTGAGTACTTAAAACCAAAACTGAAAATTGTAAGCACAAAGCTTAGTGAGTCTCCCCAAAATACCACATAACATACACATAATCACATACTGCAAAAATTGGGCCTAGCCTGCTACACCAGGCCCCGTCCGACATCAGACGAATCTGGCATCAGGCCCCACCTGACATCAAGCCCCGCTCGGTATACAGATCTATTTCTACCAGACCCCGCCTGTCTCTGGGCCCCACCCTCTATACGCATACAAATAATAACAGATAATCATGCTAGTATATAACATTCAAACACAACACTATAATTGTTAGCCTCAAGGCCCCACCTATCTTGGGCCCCGCCCCTACTCTGCTAATAATAAGATATGGAACCCCGTCCACACTCAACTAGTGATGAGATACGGCCCCCCGCCCACACTCACCTCCCTACCAGGCACATACAAGTATCACAAAGACATCAAGTATAACTAACAAGCATTCCTTCCTCGGATCCCACCCGGCATTGAACCGTAGTTCAGAAACATGCGTAATAACCTTCCTCGGGCCTCGCCCGACATCGAACCGAAATCCGGAAACATATAAGCTACATCAGGCTATCCCCAGCATCAGATCTAATCCGGCATACACTAACATACATAAATGGGCTGACATTGGTGCCTTCGACCCGTTCCCACTGGAGAAAACTTACATCACAAGCTGACTGCAGAATCTCATGAATAAACATCTCGCTGCTAGCTGGTAGGTCCCTAAACTACTGATTTCTCGACTCCCCGAGCTATCATTACCAACATAATACTTAGTCAAAAATTGATAATCCTTCTTAGGGTAAAATGACCATTTTACCCCCTGGTCAAAGTCAATGCTTGGTTAAAGTCAAAGTCAACCCTGAGTTGACCCAACTCGTCGAGTCACTCCCTTTACTCGCCAAGTTCCCACGCTAATCAGTGAAGGGACATGACGAGTCAACTAGTCGAGTTCTTCTACAGACTCGTCGAGTCCTATCCTTCATAGAATCGGGACAAACAAAGACTTGTCGAGTTCCTCTATCTGTGGCTTCATCTCAAAGGATTAAGCCCCTAACCTTCAAATCTAAGCTCCATACTTCACTTGTACCCTAGAAACGTCCTTTTAAGGGTAAAGTTTCCAACTTTACCCGTTAATACACTCACATAATGGTTGTAGCTCAAATCCTAATTCCTTAGGACCTATATCTTGGTCCACAAGCTACCAATACTTCAAACTAAGGCATAT